TGACGGATGAGGTTGGTGATCCCAAGCTCTCGGATGACCACCGCCTCGTTGTTGAGGATCCAATCATCGCCACCATAGGTTGCGATGTCGTCACCGCGGATGGGCAGCCCTGCGACCCGAGCGAAGGTAGGCAAATCAATCTCTATGTCGTAGAGATTGATGCTGCTGCGAATGGTGTCCCCGTCACGGCGGAGATTGGAATAGAAAGCCCGGACAAAGGCGGGATTGAAGCTCGAGCGGCTCTTGGAGACGAATGGCCACAAACCCGACGCTTGGAGTTGGTTGTCGAGGTCGTGGTACCCCTTTTGTTGAGGGTACAACTCGGGCAGCACCCTAGGCGGAGAAATGGGACGCTTGGCAAAGTGCGTGAGGAACCGGTTGAGTTCCTCCTCCGACCTGAACTCAAGAAACGATCCGTCCAGGTAGGGGAACGGTTGAGGCGCAGAGGTCGAGGGTTCGGCGGTGCTTTTCTTCTTGGAAGCCTTAGACTTTGATCTTCCTCCGGCCATGATTGAGACGTTTTTGAAGAAAGACTGAAGAAATGTTGAGATTAGGATCAAGGAATGAAATTATGATGTTAATGGTGTATTAGAATGAGCAAATATAAGGGATATATATAGGGAAAGGGAGATTAGGCCGTTTGGATTCAAAAATATAGCTGTTGGGCAATTAATGTGGTGCCCAACGGCTCTGAATTTTTGAAATGCAGGTGCCTTCCCAGCGATGGTAGGATCTACCCATCGATGGGAAGGTCGCCACTGGAAAGCAAGGAAGGATGCAAGGCTACCTTCCCAGCGATGTTTGCATTTTCCCATCGATGGGAAGGTGGCTTCTAGAAAAAGTTCATGGCCTTCCCAGCGATGTTAATACCATCCCATCGCTGGTTTGGGAGTTTTGAAAATCCGTTAAAGAATTTTTTTTTAAAAAAATAGTGTCAAACACCCAGCGATGGGAGGAGCTTCCCATCGATGGGTTGGGAGGTTCTGAAACAAAAGCAAGCACTCACCCAGCGATGGGATAAACTACCCATCGATGGGTAAAGGTGTTCTGGAAATCTGTTAAGTATTCTTTAAAAAATTAGAGTCAATTACCCATCGATGGGAAGAAGAACCCATCGATGGGAAGAGGGGTTCTGGAAAAAGAGAAACTTCCCTCCCAGCGATGGTATGGCTTACCCATCGCTGGTTCCCCCTGATTTCCAGAATTCTTCACTTTGAACCGTCCCTGCAAAAAAGAATAACACTTTGGTACCCAAAGTATGTCTATGGGTCCCTGGGGGTTAGTTGACCTTTATTGCCCACACACACACCCAAAATTCACACACACACACACACAATTAAATGATTGTTTAGGAGTTACCTTGGCCAACCCATTGTCTAGTGGTTGGCGGGTTCCAGTCTACCCGAACGGAGTGCCGATATCTCGGTGTGTCCTGTGTTGGTTCCGGTAACGGAATGTGGACTTTCTTCTTTTCGTCAAAGTAGAAGAAGTAATACGGTTTCTTTTGTGCACTATCCTGTGGAGATTGTTTATGATTCGAATATCCTTTTCCAAAGGATTTCTTTTTGTCAGCACTAAATATTGTGTGTGTTTCATTAAAGGTCAAGTGCCTATGTCTAGTGAAACACACGGGAGCTATATGTCCTACCCTACTGCAATAATGGCATACTACATTTGGGTTGAACATATGCCTAGGTTGGTAATAGCTAGGGGGTCTAACCATTTTCATCCTATTTTGAGAAAATATTGGTTTTTGGGTATTTTGAAGATTCTCTCTTCTAGGTGTTCTAGCATTATTTTGTCTATTTGAAAAATTATTTGTGTCCATAAAATCATTTTGATAATTCCTCCTAGGTTGCCTAGAGTGCTCGTGTTCATGACTAACCTTTTGTCTAGGTTGTCTATTATTTTTATTTTTATCTTTCTTAGGTTGAGCTCTAGGTGGTTTACGGTTGTGCTCAACTTTTTCTTTATTTTTAGGTTCATCAATCTTCCCAAAGCCTATTCCTTGTTTAGTGTATTGCATAGAATCAAAAACGAGATTAATATCCTTATGTGGTTTATTAAATTTCTTCACCG